TGACCGATTCAACTCTTCTTTCAGGTTGCTTGGTGGCAAGATTTCTGCAAGTTATTAGGACTAATAGTACTGCATTGGTTTTTTCTTCTCCTAGTGCACTAGAACTAGGTGTTGAATGACTGATGTATAAATCCGCAGATTTGCCATCACTGTTAATTACTGTTTTCGGACCATTATCTTAACTGATGTACTTATGTATTGAAGTGATGCATTATTGAATTTGACTGACTCATATTGGTGCTACATAATCAGCACTATGTGCAACTGAACTATTTGATTTACTTTAATTTGTTTTAGGCAATGGTTCCGGTTGTTAGAATGTGCTCTGTAAAGTGCAAGTGTTTGGTCGTGGTTTCGGCTGTTGTATTGAGTCGTTTGCTTTACTTAAATTTACTAGGAACTGGGCAGAGTTCTCTTTTTCAGGGGTAGAGTTCTGTTGGACAGAGTTCTAATTCTACTCCTAGCATCTTTGTATTGAACTGTTTGCTTTACTTGCCTTTGGCAGAATTGTGTTGAGAGAGTGTACTGTTGTTTTGTTTACCCAAATGGGGCGTTTGCTGATATAATATCAAAAATTTTACTTGCTTACCCCGTGTTGATTGCAACTAGTTTCACACCGCTGGTACAAAACGTCTACGTGGAGACATGGGCGACGATGCTAGCTTTGATGACTTGTAAACACCGAGGGGTTATGTGCAAAATATCATTGCAACCCAGCGGGCGTTTATTTGCAAATAGCAAGTAGCAATGATGGATGGATCTAGTCCATACACACAGGATCCAACAGCCTGTGCTCAGGTTTCCAAGCTTCCACTGAAAATGTGATTTCCACCTGATATTGTCTCGTTTGGTAAAAGAATGGAAGGTTGAACGAAGCACTCCGCCTGTCAGGAAATTGAACACTATCCTTTCTTATAAGTAGTAGAGAAATCACTTATTGGTTTACCAAAAAAAACATAAGTTTATCGGTAAGTCAATAAAAGGCGAGAAGTAAGACGGGTTTCAAGGAATCATGCTTGGCAAAGAATTTAAGGTTGGAAGAAGCACTCCGGCTGGCAGGAAACGAAACACTATTCTTTTTTAAGTAGTGGAGAAGTAATAATAAGTAGTAGAGATATTAGTTCCGTCTTAAGCCAAACTTTCTAAAGTTTGATATAATTTATGGGTGTGGCTAGATCTCAGTTGACTGAGACTTAACCAAGTCTCAGTTAAGTGATAGTATATAAGATGGAAAAAGGCAAAACTAGAAAGAAATTTTTTGTATGAATTTTCATGCAAGATCAAAAGAATATAGTATCGACTGAGACTTAGCAAAACTGATAATTTATATAGAAATATAATATATCTGCAATACCAGATAAATATAATAAGGGCAATACAGTTTATGATGGATCAAATGCTATTGAGTGAATGTTGCAATTTTTCTATAAATGTGGTCATACTTAAAAAAAATAAACTTAGAGAAAAACTAATATGTGAAAAAAAAACCCGAGGGAGTACTATTTTGTGGGCACAAGCTCTGCGTGCTCAGTTAAGCAGAAACTAACATTTTTTGAGCGTGTAAATCAAGTAGGCCTAGTGTCAATGTTGAGAAGAGGCTTGGTTTCAGCGTGGATGTTTTATGCCAACATCGACAGGGTTTGATGCATGACGGTGACCTGATAGGATAATTGGTCATGGATGACGCATCACCATCGATGCTGCAAGTTGCAGCTGCATAATTTTGACCCATGATCCTAGCAGCCTCCACCTTTCTTGACCATTATAGCCGCCACTACAGTCGCCACCTGCCACTCTCTTCTCCCCTTCCCTCGCCCACATGATCCACAGTCCTCACCTTACTCAAATGGATACGACGTGGACAGTCCGAATCTCACACCATTTTCACATATTATATACTCCTATAATCTCACAGATGCCATGGCGTATGCAGTGTGCTGTATAAATTAATGGATGCCTCCAGCTCAACTGCCCATCTCCATTGATCAAAGATCAGAGCTCAGGAGCTGGCAGCAATGGAGCGGCAGGCCGAGTCGAAGCCCATCCCGCTGATGATGCCGTACAAGATGGGCACGTCGCTCGAACTCGCCCACCGGGTGGTGCTGGCCCCGCTGACGCGGCAGCGCTCCTACGGCAACGTGCCGCAGCCGCACGCCGCCGTCTACTACGGCCAGCGCGCCACGCCCGGCGGGATGCTCATCACGGAGGCCACGGGGGTCTCCGACACGGCGCAGGGGTACACCGACACCCCCGGCGTCTGGACGGCCGAGCAGGCGGACGCGTGGCGGCCCGTCGTCGACGCCGTGCACGCCAAGGGCGCCCTCTTCTTCTGCCAGCTCTGGCACGTCGGCCGCGTGTCGAAGTACGGGTTCCAGCCCGGCGGCGCCGCGCCCGTGTCCAGCACCGAGAGGATGGTCGGCCCGCAGGTCAGGCACGACGGCTCCACCGAGGAGTTCTCGCCGCCGAGGAGGCTGGCGGTGGAGGAGATCCCCATGGTCGCCGACGACTTCAGGAAAGCTGCACGGAACGCCATCAACGCCGGTAGGTACAGGAGAACATTTTACACTCTGCTCTCCTCTGCTTTGCATTTTACACTCTGCTTTCCTCTGCTTTAAATATAACACTCTGCTTTGCGCCGACTGGCCAGGCTTCGACGGCGTGGAAATCCACGGCGGCAACGGATACCTCATCGAGCAGTTCCTCAAGGACAGCGCCAACGATCGGGACGACGGCTACGGCGGCAGCCTGGAGAACCGGTGCCGCTTTGCGCTGGAGGTGGTGGATTCCGTCGTCAAAGAGGTGGGCGCCCACCGTGTGGGCATCCGCCTCTCGCCCTTCATGGACTACATGGACTGCCATGACTCCGACCCGCATGCGCTCGGCCTCCACATGGCCACGAAGCTCAATGACTACGGCATTCTTTACCTTCACATGATTGAGCCCCGGATGGCCCGCATCGACGGTCGGCGCGTGGTCCCGCACCGCCTGCTGCCCTACAGGGAGGCCTTCAAGGGCACCTTTATAGCAAATGGCGGGTACGACCGAGAGGAGGGGGACAAGGCGGTCGCATCGGGGTACGCCGACCTCGTCTCGTTTGGGCGGCTCTTCCTGGCAAACCCAGACCTACCGAAGAGGCTAGAGCTCAAGGCGCCGCTTAACAAGTACAATAGGATGACGTTTTACATCTCTGATCCCGTTGTCGGCTACACCGACTACCCGTTTCTTCCTTGATGTGTCATTCAACCATGAATAATGATTGATCCATATATTGCCATGTGAAATTGAAATGAAACCATTTCTTTTTCTCAGCTCTTCTCTTTTTTCCCTATGGTACATATCGCCTTTTTGTGTAGAAGTTTTTCTACTGTGAAAAAGCCACAAAATTCCAAGTGTTTAAATTTTGAAAATTCTGAAAGATCACTTTTCAAATTTTCGTATTCCAAAAATTTGAAAGCGTAAAATTATTGTTGGAAAATTCCAAGGCCTGGCATCTATATAATTCTGTTTGACCGGACAATTGAGATGGTCCTTGTAGCCTATATGCAATATGCTAGAAATGCATGGTAATTTTACTATCCATTTCTTAGCAAAACACACAGATCATTTATTCCTGTTCCAGGTATACATCGGTGTTGTTTGCACCAACACAACACAAACTCCCCTTCACAAACTACAAATTCATAACCGGAAGTCAGAAATAGCAGTTTTTGCATCTAACCCTATGGAGAAGTAATGTTTCATGTAATCTCTCACGAGGGTTTCCCTATACAATGGTCTGTTCTCTTCAGACAACAGCTCCTTGATTGGACCGTACATCCTCGTCGAGGCTGGATGGAAATGCGTGCTAAAGAAGAACGCGATCGAGACCCTAGGGGCAGCGTTCTTCGCCAACACCCTATGCTCCACACTCCTGAACCCGTCATTGGAGATCAGCTGCACATTTTTTTTTAACAAAATACATATAGTTCAAAATGATCAAGCACACTGCTTATTTGTTAAACAAAAGATTTAGGATTGAATGGACACGATTTACATACCTGTAAGAGGTCGCCGATGTTCACAATGAATGCTCCTGGTGTGGGCGTGACATCTACCCACCGGTCCTCGTTGAAGATCTGTAGTCCGCCGACTTCATCTTGGAGGAGTATGGTCAGGAAGCCGGCGTCTGAATGCCGGCTTGTCCCATTGCGAGTTCAGGCTGAGGGCAGGGAGGGTAATAGTGGCAGATTAAGATCTGTCCTTGGTCGCACTCCATGTCTGTTAGGTAACTTGGTTTGAGTCCAAGAGCTTCGGAGAGCAGCTCAAACAAAGTCTTTCCTAATTTATTAACTTGCTCGGTATATTCAAGCAGTGCATCCCTGCAAATCAACATTTTAGTCCCAATAGATCAGATCAAGAGTGATTCCTCACTAGTGCCGAGTGATTTTTTATAGAACATCCTTTTGCTGCGAGGAATCGAAAATTCTTCACTTTATATAGAACATCTTTTTGCTGTGAGTTCTCAGGAAAAAAAGATGTTCAATAGAAAGTAAAGAAATTTTGATTCCTCAGAGTAAAAATGTTTTCTATTGAAATTAATTTCATTGCAGAACTTATCCCTGGCCATTTTGTCAATAACCAAGGTAGAATTCACATTAACAACAATACATACTCCATGCTTGTATAAATTGTACCATCTGTACTAACTGTGGATTGCTATTGGTGTAAAAAGGAAGAGAAAGAGGGCAACTGGCCAGAGAAAAATAATGATTGTAAATAGCATCCCTCATTGAGAAAATCAGAGAATTGATAATCAATAGTAAATCAGGAAATTTTATCAACCTACTATAGTTCAACAAGAGGTATTTGTTGGGTTAGCAGTAGACAAAATGAGTACTACAGTCTCATATGATTGTCAATTACTCCCTCCGTAAAGAAATATTTCATGAGAAGAGAATTGTGTGTAATTTCTACTACGATGTATCTTAATATGAGACGCTTTTGCAGTTTATCGGTCGCACTCACCGGCAGCTGTCCGGCATGTCGCCGACGTCGGGCGGGTCAGGGGCCATGCGGATGTGGAGCGTGTCGCGCCAGTTGGCCACCGGCGACTCGTAGAGGTCGAAGTTGCACTGGTACTTGACCGGCTTGACGGGGTCACGCGAGTAGAGCCGCGCCTTCTCGGTGCCCTCACCGCCGTCGGCCGCGTGGAACGCCCGCACCGCGTCCGTCGCCGCGGCCATCGCCGCCTCCGGCACGCCGTGGCCTATCACCTGGAAGAACCCGCACCCTGCGGCGGCCTGGCGGACGGCGGCAACCACGGCCGCGTGGTCGCCCCTCCCAAGGTCGATCACCGGGATGGCCCCTGGGTCTTCTTGGCGGCCTACGAGGACGGTGGTGTCCTGTTTGTCGTGGTGGCCTTCAGGGACGCGGAAGATGCGGGGGATGTGCGTGAGGCCGGAGGCGACGAGGCCGCTGACGCCGGCGAAGGTGGCGTCCAGCGCGCGGAGGTCGGCCGCGCGGTCGTAGGCAACGGGAGAGGAGGCGGCCGACATGGTTAGTGGCGTGGGTGTCATCGCCCTGGCGGTTGGAGTGCTCTTATCTGCTACCTGGTGAGCGTGCTGCAACTGTGCCGGCGATGGATGCATGCCAACAGATCGAACAAAAGAAACAACAGAAGGCCAAGATAAAGCACAAAATTACATGAAAGTTCTCCATAGTCGTCGACTCTAGCTGCGATCTCTCGCAACTCGACTTTTCTTCATACATCTCATAAAGAAACCGCAGTAGATCAAACCTGCACAAGCTGAACTCATCTCAAAGTTTTCAAAGAGCCATATGAGCCGCCCACCACAATAGACGAGAACCTAAGATCTATTGACACACTACTGCCCGGGAGACACCCTTGCAAGACAGGTTGTCGAACTATTGCTTCGTCGTCGTACTGTTAGGGAAGACTTCAGGAAAGCAGCACAAAATGCCATCAACGCCGGTACATACATGAGAACATATACTCCGCTCTCTTTTGTTTGCATTTTACACTTTGCTTTCCTCTGTTTTGCATTTAACACTTTGCTTTGCTCTGCACGCCGACGGGCCAGGTTTTGACGGCGTGGAGATCCATGGCGACAACGGGTACCTCATCGAGCAGTTCCTCAAGGACAATGCCAACGACCGGGACGACGGCTATGGCGGCAGCTTGGAGAACCGGTGCCGCTTTGCGTTGGAGGTGGTGGACGCCGTCGCCAAGGAAGTGGGCGCCCACCGTGCGGGCATCCGCCTCTAGCCCTTCATGGACTACATGGACTGTCACGACTCCGACCCGCACGCGCTTGGCTTCCACATGGCCACGAAGCTCAGTGACCACGACGTCCTCTACCTCCACATGATCGAGCCCCGGACGGCCCTCGTCGACGGCCGGCGGGTGGTCCCACACCAGCTGCTGACCTGCAGGGAGGCCTTCAAGAGCACCTTTATCGTGAATGGCGGGTACGACCGGGAGGAGGGGGGACAAGGCAGTGGCATCGGGGTACGCCGACCTCGTCTCATTCGGGCGGCTCTTCCTGGCAAAGCCAGACCTATCAAAGAGGCTAGAGCTCAATGCGCTTAACAAGTACAATAGGATGACATTCTACATCTTCGATCCCGTCGTCGGCTACACCGACTACCCGTTTCTTCCTTGATGTGTCATTCAACCATGAATAATGGTTGATATTGTGTCGTTTCTACCGTGAATTATGTGTCATTGACTCATTGACATATGAATTTCAAATGAAACCTTATCTTTTTCTTAGCTCTTCCCTTTTTACCCGCGTAGGCTCCGTGGTACATGTAGTTTTTTTATGTAGAATTTTTTGGCGGTGAAAATATCGCAACATTATGAGTGTCTAAATTTTGAAAATTGAAATTTTAAAATTTGGAAAGATCAATTTTTAAATTATCATATTCTGAAAGTTTGGAAGTGTTCAATTATTCATGCTACACGGGAGGCAAACCTTAGCTGCCCCCCGCAACCCAGCCACGCTCCTCAACCTCCTCCACCCGCAGCCGTCGAGAAATGCATGTGAGGTCGCGGCACTGGAGGGGCACCCCCTCCCGTTTTAGTAAATGAATTAGTGTAAATGAATATATATTAATAATATATAATAAACATAGATATAAATATACGACAAATCTATCCACCAGTCGACTGTTGGATTGCTACAGATCCGCACGACTCGTTGCCCGTTCGATCCCCAACGGCCCGCGTCATCCCTGGTGCGCGCAGCGCGGGTGGCGGTAGCCGTTACGATCGATGTCTGACGCTGACTAGTGGGTCCACTCGAAACCGCCCATATCGCCCAATCCCACGATCCCCACTCGCCCCCTCTCCCTGTTCGCCCGCACTACTTCTTCCTCCTCTGCTTCGTGCGTTTTCATTCGAATCTCCTCTCGCTCCCCTCCCCCTCGTGCGCGACGGTTGCTGGTGGTGGCGCGGTCCGGTTCGCGGCGGACGGCGTCTGAATCCGCGGTGAGGAACGCATTCCCCACCCCTGTTTCCTTCCTCTCTTTTGCTTCGCCGCCTGTCCGCCATTGATTTAGGTTGGAGCCTTCGAATCTGGTAGTTTGTTGTTCCCATTAGGTTAGATTAAGGGCGGCTTTTAGTTTCTGAGTCAACGTTGAGCAGCGCATCCCCCATTCCCCCACACATCCACTCGCCCCGCTCTGTATTTCCTGTCGCTCCGCCTCCATGATTCGCCGTTGATTTTAGGTGCTCGGACTCTTTGATTCTGGCCGTTGTTGTTGCTATTAGGTTAGGTTATGTCGCCTTCTAAGTTCAGTTGAATATGGTTCGGACATCTGGTTTAATTTTGTGGTAATCGTGGTGGTAAGTGTGGTTAGTTCTAATAAGGATTTTGTTATGGTGTTACTGTTGTGGATGTGGTTGTTTAGGACATCCAATAATGTTTGGTGTTTAGGGATTTCAATTTGTGCATCAGTGGCTGAGTATTTAAAAAGCAACCCTAAGCTTATTCACATAATGTTGTTTTATGTTGGTTTTGTTTGATGCGGTGTGTCTATTGATTAGACTTTTGTGGTGCTCCAATTAGCTTGTTTACAATGCTTGATTTGCTTGTTATGACTTGTTCTGTTCAATTATCATGATGTGTATACTGAACTTACCAACGATATTGCACTCAAATTACCAGATGCTAAAACTCTGTTATTTATCAGTGTTGTCTTGTTATGGTTGAATTATCATGGTGATGGTTATACAATTACCATTATCATCTTACCGTAGTTACCAGAAGTTTTTCTAGTCTAACTATATGCAGCACAACGCTGATTTCTCGTTCATTTGTTTTGGTTGGTTTATTAATGAGCATGTGTGAATGGTATTTCTTATCACTGGTAATTTGGTTGTAACTTACCAATTGCATTGTGCCTCAATTATCAGTCACACATGCTTTTTATATACCTGTGCTATATGTTTTACTTTTTTTAGCATGTGCGATGGACCAATTGCAGTTTGCTTGTTTCCTTTTATCAGCTGTATTATTGCTTTGTCAAACACCGGTTTTATAAATGTTATAGTTTATTGTAATATCAGTTTTTCAAAGTCATCTAATGGTTTCATTCGCTTTGCTTTTTTTTCCTACGTGTCAGGGAGACAATGCCGAGGAAGCGTAAAGGAGATGTGATGGAATCGATGACGTTCCTTCGAAAAAGGCGAGACGCCCTCCTCCGCGGAACAGAGCCTCACCCAGTTCGCTTCTTCTAGCATGCAAGGACATGAATGATGACAGGAAGGGTGCCATTGATGATATGGATTTAACTAGCCTCCGGAATATCCAATGTGACCATCTATTCAACAATCTCAGTGTGTGGCTTGCTGATCTCTACGATCCCAATTCGCGTGAGGTGGTCGTACTAGGCCGAGGCAGGCTTCCGGTCAATGAGGAATACGTGCATCGTGTTATGGGCGTGCCGCGTGGAGGGAATGATGTCCCTTACAACCTCCCATCTGAAGCTGATATTGAGTTAGGGCTTGAGTTGTTTGGCGAGCTCGGATATGCCCCTAAAATGACTGATCTTGTTGATCTCATAAAGGGTTCTGAAAATTCTGATGACACTTTCAAGCGTATGTGGCTTCTGCTTGCGGGGAATACAGTCATTGCCCCGACCACCTCCAACAAAGTTAGCCCCCGTTGGTATGCTGTGCTGGTAAGTTTTTTTTGTAAATATGTCATTTTCTTTCTTGTGTGCCTGATAACTTTACTATATGTTAGTGTGATAACTTCCATATTTTTTTGTGGTGCATTCGGTGAACTTCAGTTTCTTTCTGTTTTTTTAACTTGCAGCATGACATCAATGGTGTTAAAAATCTCAATTGGTCCAAATTTATTGCTGATGAACTGCACAAGGCGCTGTTGAAACGCAAGCCTACCAGGGGTTGCCTTCTCTTCTACAATGTAAGTGACGATGCTTTCCTCTTACCTTCTCTTTTGTCATTTGTCATTTTCTTTGTCATTTTGTGTCTGATTTTTGTAAGTGTTTACCATGACGCTTGTGTTTTTCTTATCAGCTAGTGTACATTCATGCGATTGATCTTTCTGGACTTGGCATCGAACTGCCTGATGGTCCTTTTCCCATCAATGTATGGACAAAGAAGCTGATAACTCTTGTCCTTAACAAGGATGTTCAGGCTGACAAAGTTTCTTTCGGGAAACTACCGATAATATATATCTATGTTTTTCAGTTCACAGTCTGCTTTTGCAACTGCATCTTATTTTCATTGTTTTTTGTTGTTACTTATCTGTCATGTCGCTACATTTTTTTTTCCAGTTGAAGCCTCAGTTTGGCATGAATTTCTGTCTGTTTGGTGGTCTGGAAGGTCTTGACAAGTTTATGCGTGTTCATACTGCCCCAAGCTGCAGTGAAGAGGTGAGCATGTAACCTAGTTTCTTGATTTTTTTTTTGCTATTTTTATGTTTTTTCATTGGCTGATAAATTATTTTTTGCTAATTTGGATGATTTCCAATGTGGCATAACCTCTATAGAAGATAATAATTATGATGCAACCATGTGATAATTCTTAGTGCAATGCCTTGATAACTTTGTCGCATTCCTATGATAACTTGATATCGTGATAACTTTGGTTGCATTTATTATGATGATTATTAGATAACTGTGCTGTTTTATCTTTCTCATATATTGATCTTCATTTTCATGGTGACTGAATGTTTGCTAAATCATGGATACATTTATTTGTCTACTGCAACGACACCACACGTTTGTTTACTGACTGTTCTTTTTGTGTGTGCTTTTTTTAATTTATGATAACTTTTGTTGCATTTTGGTGATAACTTACTAGTTATTTTCCATTTTTTTCCATTTTTTTATGTTGAACAGAAATTTGCCAAATCAACTCAGATAGTCGCTCGATTCACGTCTGCCATGGCTGGCATCCTAGGCAATCTTGTGGAATCATTCACTGCTTTAGATGATGAGGGCCATTCACATGCATCCCGTCAGCTAGACGCTGGATTGAACGTTATCTCCTCTGCCGCCCGTA